CCCGACAGAGCCGCAACGGTGCATCTTCCCTCTCCATCAGTGCAATATTTTGGCTTGCCCAGAGCTCTCCCCAGTGGAAACCACAATGTGGGGCAAACAAAATTGCCCAAGTCATCCACAGATTTAGTAGGATTCGGATTTAATCGCAGCCTTGGCTATATCCCAAAGCTGCATAGCTCAGCTATCACCCCAGGAGTCTCCATCCCAAACACCACCGCAGGGGCCGAGAGCGGATCTTTCCACCACCGACTTGTTCTTTTTTTTCAACCGAGCCCCTATCTCCAATGCTCATCGTGTTGTTATTGCTACTGAACGGGTGTGAGCGCCTCAGGAAAGGGGGACAGGAGATAAATCAGCTCAATCTCAAGCAAGCCTGAGGTTACTTACCACCAAATACAGCATGGTGTAGAGGGAGAAGGACGCGTGCCCAGAGAAGAAGGATTTCCTGCAAAACAAAGCAGGTGCTAAGAACCAGCCGCTATCATCTCTGGTATTATAATTTTACATGAAATATGGTGACTCGCCTGCTGCTACCAAGAGGGTGTCAAAGCAGAGGGACCCAGAACCCCCAATCTTTTGGGTTATAAAGCCACCGTTACATGTCCCGCTCGCTTGCGAGGCAGAAAGCGAACGGACAGACAGGATGCTCGCATTGTTCGTTCCTTCCTGGTCTACTCGTGGGACAGCAGTTATTTCCAGGATAGCCCGATAACTCATCGTCTCGCCTCAAATAACCAGGAAACCATAAAGAAATAAGCAACCGGAGAAGCTGCTTGCTTCTTAATTGCAGCATGTGAAATATGCCCTTCGAAATGTCAAAATTGACCATCTGACGGATTTGATAGAGAGCTTGAAGGGGAGGTGCTGGCAGCCCTGCCTGCGTGGAGCGTCCTTGGAGGAGAAGTCCTCTGCTCCGCCATATGAGATGGCTCGAGCTCTTCACCATGAGCTCAGCTCTTAGGGTGAATTCCCACATTGAGCAACCGCTTGGGGAAACAATAGTGCAGGAGTAAAGAGAAAGGAAAAGATATGTTATTCAGCCAAGTCCCGCAATTCCCGAGGGAAACCGCCTGTCCCTGGCAGACGGAGTTACAGCCTTCGCAGAGAAAGCGGCGTTTGCATCATCTATTGCTGGCAGACAAACCCTAAGACATATTTAGCGTAAAACACCATTTCAGCGGCAGCAGCCCATGGCTTTGACACCACGGGCTCTCACCTGGCTTCCTGGACCTTGCTGTCGCTTCCCCTGCAGGTGTAGTTTTGGATGTAAACTCCCTTAGCGCAGTTGATGGTGGAGAAATCCAAATCGCAAACTTCCAGGAAATGCGGCCGCAAGCGCCCGACGGACACTTTGGCAATGTCTGTGAAGGACTGGCTGATGGCGCAGCCGAAAACGAAGCAGCCCACTTGCTTGTAGAGAGCAGCCACGTAGGGGTTCTGGATAAAGGAGCGTGACTTCTCCTTCAGGTAGTGGATGCGGTAGAGCTCTCCCGTTATAATCTGCGGGCGAAACGCAACAGAGAGGTTAGAGAGCAGGAAAGATGCCGTGCGAGACCAGCGATGGGTGGCAAACGCAGGGCTGAGACAGCTCTTTGTGTTCTGAGCATCTCGAACCAGCAATCTGCTTCCACAGTGAGGAAGGGTTGCTCAGAGCCCAGCATCTCTCTGTCCTCCTCCTTTTCCCTCTCAATTTTGCAGTGCGTAAAATGTTGTTCACGATTTGATAAACAAGAAGAAAGAAAAAAAAGCTAGAGTTTGGTTTAGCACGTTGGCACATCTTTACAGAAGTGAAATAGCACCCTGGATCTATACCAGCATAGGGGGAAAAAAAATGAACATAAACCAGATAAAGAATCAGTGTGTGTTTGGGAAAGAGAGGCCAGATCCACTACCCTCTTATCGAACTGGTTTTGGAGGAAAGCAAATGAACCACCTGCTTATCTTTGTCTCTGAAAACTGTGAAGGCAACAGACTCAAAGCCCCAAACTTTTCAGATTCTGGCCCAAAATTTGCCACCACCAGACCCGATTCGAGCTGCCCAAAGCCTCCGTAAACACCAGTTATTTCTGGGCATTTCAAGAGATCTTGCCATTGCATGGCAGCAAATCCTGTATTTCTCGTGACAGGGGTGCTGGCATTTGACAGTATCACCGTAAATCACAGTCAGGGAGCAGAGGGCCTGACTTCTCCTAATCCCCACTCTTAAAAGGCTGGTTAATGAAAATCAGGCTGTGAAACGAAGTCCAAATGTCTCACCTCTCCCAAAGAAGCAAAAGCTTAAATTGTTCTCCGTCACGTTACACACCTAGTTTTTGAGCTCCAGATTTACAGCTTTAGGATTTTATTCATTACTTTAAATGTTTTTATACCTGAGTAATAAATCGAGGCGGGGTGGTTTTTTTTTTTCCCCTGGTCTCCCCCTCATCCCTGACCCTCTCTAGTCACAAGGACTATGATACGTAAAATTAACTGTCAGAAAAAATGCCTTCACGTTAATCCCTTTCTGGAGCAGCCAGCAATATTCCTCCCGGTGTGGCAGCCAGCCAGCGGCGTGCAGGAGACAAGGCTCCCCTGCCTACCTTTTTTAAAAGCTTGGCACAACCTTTGGAAACTAATAAACTGGAAAAGTATGGCAATTAGACTAAGAGGAGATGAAGCTGTATCATTGTTTGAACTCACTGGTACCGTGGCTTGAAGAAACCAAGGCAGCTGAAACTGCAGCTAAGCAGGCTTTATCGAAGAGAGATACAAGTATAATAATAAAAAATGAAGGCCAAGCTCTCTGCTACCATGCACAGAAATACTTTGGGTGGCCGCACCGTCATCTGGGGTTTACATGTCACCACTAAGACGCACTCTTGGAAATCTGGTGGTGGCCAAGAGCTCTCTGGGGACCTGCAGCTAACCAGCTCCGGCATCATTTTAACCCTCTCAGACTCCAAAGACCATGGTTTATCTCCATTTTGAACCACCTTCCAGCACAAGCTGGCAGCCAGGACATCTACAGGCATGAGGACCGCAGAGGGAGGTTGGAGCCTCTCCTGCTCCTCTGGCAGGAGGCAGCTCCAGGGTGTCCTGGATGGACACGGATGCTCCTGCATGAGGGCACAGACACCCCCTGCAGCCTCCCAAACCCCTAAATTCACAGGAAGGGGAGCCACGAGGCTCAAAACTCATGGCTTTTGCAGAGGAGAGACGAGACAAACTAAGGATGACATCTAATACCGGCAGATGTGCCATTTCTCCAAACTCACAAACAGATCCACGTAAATCCGAGGCTCCTGGCCTGGGTAAGGCATGTGACCGTTTTAAACAAGGACCAACAAAAGTCTGGGGATTAATATTTTTCTCTCACCGTTGGTGGTCTGGGTAATTGCACACATGTAGCAGATTGTAAATTGGAGACTTCATTCCCTCGCTAACACGCTGCTGGGCAGCCATGAACCCTCCCTGCTTAGTTAAAGCCATGGCTCAACCTTAACGAGAAGCTAAAAATTGGGTAAACTCATTTTTTTTGGCAGTGCCGTCCCAGATAAAGCAGGATGGTGAAAAACTAATGCAGCACAGACGTGCACGAACTGAAAGGACATCCTGAGAAGAAAACAAGTCTTTAAGATATTAAACTCTTCTTATGCCTTGCACTTCTGGCGAGCCACCCGCACGGGATGTATGCCATACGTATGTGATGGGCACAGCCCCCGGGGGACCGCCACTAGAGAGAATCCAGTATCAAACTTTTCTGTCTGTGAATGCCTTTTGCAGCCTTTTGGCTGTCGTGCCCATTTTATCATTGCTATTATAAGGTATCACGAGCAGTCCAATTAGCCTGTAATTACTTTTAGAGCTTTTCTAATCACTTACATCTCTGGTGTAACGTTCTCTGTGTCTAATCACATTGAAGTGTATCACCTTCAGCTGTAAAACAATCAGCTAATCCAGCTGTGTAACTTAGATCACCTAGCAAATTAATTTTCTTAGGTATTTTCTATAGGCTTTCAAGACCCATCAGGGTGAGCAGGGCAGCTCAGCAGCGGTACCCGTATGAGGCTCAGGAAAAGGAAAATGCCACCTTCCCCGGCCATCCCAGGGACCGCCAACATGCTTCTGAGCCCAAGATGATCAAATTAACCATCTTCCAAGCAAGAAGAGCAGTCAGGAGAGGCGTGAGAGCGCACAGCTCAGGGGCACGAGCCAGGGTCATCTGCATGGAAATTTGCCTGAAGTCAGTAAATAAATAGGTATTAAACCCAAATGCATATCCTCTTCTCACATCCTGATCGAAACAAAGGTCTTTGCCTCTGCCATTTCCCTAAAGAGCACTCTGGGTGTCCTCAAGTCACTTAAAACACAACCCGGACCTTTTACCCTGGGATGTAAACTGCCCGTGACGCCCCGTAAAGCAAGGGCGCGAAATTTTGGCCGCGCCATCCAAAACGCCGGCTCCCTGGAAGTCCTCATAACCGCTGTCCTGCCTTCCCAAGGCAAATGTTGCGAGCGAAAGGAGCAGAGTCAGTGCTTTGTGGATTTGGAAGGAATTCCTATTATGCTACAGTAATGCTGGTATCTGGGTTACATCTGAAAAAAAGAGGTCAGGCTGACTTGAATTTTCCATGCGTGCTGCCATAGCAAAGAAATCTGTTGCTTCAATTCCTCGTTAGCCATTTGTATCACTCAACAGCAAATAACCGAGCTTTTGAATTTACCTTATTAAGTTACATTTGTTGTGGGCACTGCAAAACCAGGGCAGAAACATCTAATTCTTTGGGGATTTTCTTTCTCTTTTAATTGACCTGCTATTTCGTGGTAGAAAGCTGATGGATCACATAGGCAGCTGATTATATTTCCAGTTTCTGTTCCAACTCCTGTATTTGCCACTGCCTCATTACTGATCAGAAGCACACTCTGCATGGAGCCGGCATGCCGATAGCTCAGGCAGTAATGCGAAAATGAGAGGCTTTTTCATTTTGTTTTTATGGCTTTTCCACACTCAGGGGTAATTCACCTGCAGGGTAAAATTCTGCCGTGTTTATAGAATTGGGGGTCTGGCACCTTTGGGGTTTGTTTTGAGGAGGGAGGGCGCATAGGAACAAGGCACTTTTGGGGACCGACTTTGCTAAGTGAGTATATGTGGTCAGGAAATGATGGAGAGATCAGGAAACGATGGAGATATTCACGGCACGAAACAGCAAGGCAGGGAACGGGGTATTACCAAAGCAGGCACCGTGCCATGCTAAAATACCTATTGCCCGTGACATTGGTCCTGTGAGGAAAGATGAAAGCTAGGAGGAGAACAAGTGCTCCTGACCTCTCCATCCCCATCCCTCCCCAGCTGAAGGACCAAGAGGAAGGCAGCACCTCTGGGAAAGCACCCGAGCTGTGCTGGCGGCAGGTGAGAAGGAAGATGTAGGTACTTTTCATAGGGGAATTTCACCCTCAGCTGGAAGCGTTTAACCAACAACCACGAGAGAGCTCTTGCCTCCTGCCCCAGCACCAGATATGTGCTGGCATAAGGAAGCTCGGTTCCACGGGCTGAATGAATTCAGCGTTTTGGCTGACATATAAAGCTCTCACCGTGCAATCGTTTCCTAGCACACCTCTAGGAAACCTGGCAGAAAAAGAGAAATGAGGAGGCATTGGGAAGGTGGTGTATTAACTACTTTTTACAGTGAGGACTCTGGGAATAAGCTCCCCATGGAAGGTTTTAATTGTCTTTTTAATATGACTGTGATACACAATCTCTTAAAAATGTAATGCTAACCTGTGAAACTTTTCCAGGCACTGGTTAGCTGAAAAGACTTTTTTTTTTTTTTTTTAAAACCTTATAAAATAGGCAAATACCAAGAGTTATTTGAATAGAGACAAACCCTGCCAAGTCCTTATTGACACTCAAGTCTTTTTGCTTCTACACTGAACTCCTACCGGAGGGTGAAAAAGCTCTTGTGGAGCTCACAGACTTGCCCAAACAGCTTTGGGCCTGTTTACGGGCTTCAAGAGTAATCTCATTCCTCCCATTGGAAGCTTTCATTTGCAAATGTTTACTACTCCATGCTCACGTGGAACTCAAATAATCACAGAGGAGATGTGCACCTCGGTAGATAGCTTGGACATACCAGCAAGATTGCGTTAAACCCCCAAAGAAACAGCTAAACCAGCTAAAGAGGTGACAAAAAGCCACCGGGGATGTCCAAGGGACAGGAGAGGAGGTTTCAGAGGCGGTACTTACAGCGAGGATAGTAATGAGGATGCCCGCAGCACATAGCACTGCGTCGTTGATTGTCTCCATCGTCTTCAGCGGGTACCTGATGCTGTCGTCGTCACAGTAGAAGCCCCGCTGGTAGGGCTGGATTGTGCTCGTTTCAATGATGAGGAAAGGCAACCCGGCTGGAAAGAACGGGAGACAATAACCAAACCCATCAGCAATACAGACAAACACAAGCGGCTCCCCCCCCGCCCCCCCAAAAAAAGACCCAGCTAGAAAACCCCTTGCAAACCACACAGCACCGTTCCTGATGCTTTTCTTTCCATATTGCTATCTTTCCAAAGGGAACAGCGTTGGGATTTGTTTTTCCAAGTCACTCTTGCGGGGAAAAAGCATCTCCTCTGTTATGGTTATCAGATGTCTGCACTGCCTGGTTTCAGTTAAGCCTGGTGCATTGCAAATATTAACTTACAGGAACGGACCCCTAAAGCAATCCCTCTGCAAAACGCCATGAAAACGAACCTGGCACTTTTCTCCAGGGAGGGCCCGATGCACTGCCGAGCGCCCCACGGCAGGGCAGCCCAGAGCTGTGCAAACAAACACTGGAGGATCCAGTATCAGCACGGCTTCTCCTACCTGGTCAGCCCAGCTACGCTCCATCCCCGTCACTTATACGCCTGTGAAGCCTTCCTTGGCTCCCTCCTCTCTGTATTTAACAGGTATATGTGTGTTTGTACCTACTAATGCCATAAGACTACGTGCTATGAGCAGCTGTGGGACACCCATCCTTGACCCATCCATGCAAGGGGAAGCTGAGCACGCACCCGACCAGCCCATCCACAAGAGCTGCTGAACTCCCATCAGAGCCCGTTCGCCTTCAATCACATTAAAGCCATGTGAAATCTGTTTTTAAACACTGTTTGTGAACCCTCCGTGCTGGAAACCTGTGTCTGCACAGCTCAGCTAGACCTTTGCACCAGGCACGGAGAAAATCTGCTCAAAATCATGGAGTGATGGGTCAGGACACGTGGTATAGAGGGGACACCTCAAAATTGCTGCATGTCTGTTATTCCATATTTTAAGTCTTTCAGAGAAATACAGCGTTGCCTCAAACTTGGTAGGAGAGCTCTGGGGTACTTCCCAGCCACGATGTTACCTTGAGCAGCACACCCTCCTTCCCTTCTCCTCAGTTTCCCCATCCATCTTTGCTATTAAGCCCGTCACCGAGAGGAGCGGTACATCCCCTCCAAAACAAGCCCCAGATTCCCTGAAACCCACGTTGAGAGTAAATCACAAACCACAAGGTACAGGAAACCCTTCCTCCCACTTGCAAAGCGAAACCCAGGTAAGGGGAAAACAAATGCACGGTGGTTCAAGCTGTCCTTGGGCCAAGGCAACAGGTCTCACGCCCAGATCCTACAGAAAGCACTAGGGAATATTTGTCGACCACTAACTTGCTTAAGTATCTGCGAGTTTGTTTACACAGCAAGAAGTCTAAGACATCAGAGGGGTTTTTTTCTTTCTAAAATTAATAAAAAATAAATAAAAAACCAAAGTGCTGATGGGTTTCACCTAACTTTGTCCATGGTACATTTGTAGTGATCACGACCTGCTAGATGTGATTAGCAAGGGTGCCATCCAGGTTGTTAAAAGGTGTCGTCAAAATAATGTTCCCCATCTCCACATGAACCACTTTCTGTACTTCACTTTGCGCAATCCATTTCGGCTCCTTTTCTTATATGTTAATAGGTTTGCCTAATCCTGGATTATTAGGGGGTTTTGTTAGTCTTAAGAAAAAGGAAAATCTCCATCATCTCTGAGCAGGGACAACCACACGCAGACCTGAAGCCTCTGAGGTACCCAAGAGCGGCCAGGGCCATCGCTCAGGACTCCCTTCAGATCCTCTCTAAAAAACTTTGGAAATGGGTTAATTGCAAGCGCCAGGCCCCGCGGCACTGGGCAGGGCAGGATGGTTTCCACCACACGTGTGAACCAGCGAGGAAAGGTTTCAGAACCGCCTGCCCAGCTCAGATATGGTAAATAAAATCGGACATCTCGTGTGAATCCAGTTGATCTTCATTCCCCTATTTAACTGTTTTGATGCCTAGCCAGCTTGGCCCCAAAACATGCCTCTGATGCCAGCAATCTGATATTAATAGGCCACTTAAAAAATCCTTAGTTTCCCAATGAAAAATTGCAGGAGAAGAGCTAATGTTGCTTGGCACGATCCAATTTCACATGCACTTGAAGCAGCGGCGTAACAGTTGAACTCGGGGAGTAGACATGCCACGGTTACGTGGCTTATTGTTATTTCTCCAGTTCCTCTTGTTAATAGCTTTCACATGACAGGTCTGTAAAACACATGTTCCCACAGACAATAAAATACATCTGAAAGCTAAAACTGGCTTAAAAAAAAAAAAAAAAAAAGACAATAGTGCTCCTATATATTATGTGAACCCAGGAATAATAAAGATTTGTTTTCCCTTCATTCATTGAACAGCATGGGGTAGTATTTCCGCGTTTCAATTATACGTACGCTTGCCACAGCTATAATAAGAGCATAACTGACCTATATGGTATACATTTTCTTAAAGTGCGCATAGGCATAGTTTAGAAAATCCAATGGTTTTGTTTTCTCTCCTACGAACTTGTGGTTTAGTGGGATATTGCCAATCAAGTCTTGACATTTTTCCAGCAAAACAGTAACCTCAGATTCCCTTTTTTTTCCCTTTTTTTTCCCCCCCCCTCCCCCCCCCCCTTTTTTTTTAAACATGAGAAACATAAACATACTCTCCGTAGCTGAACGGATATTACTTCGAAGACATAACACGCCCTTGATTTCGAGGGCTGGGCCAGAGGCTCCTTTTCAACCCAAGGAAGAGAAGACTTGAAGACCTCAGCCCATGCCAAATGGTAAATCGTGCTCAAGATAGCTCTTCTTCCACAAGGTTATTTCTTGGAGGACAGGTTGTCTAAATGACTAGGTCACCACCCACATATTTTTTGGCAAGGGGGTTCCAGCACAGAGAAGCCTGTAGCAGTGCCAAAAGGCAACTAGAGAATGGGTTTTGCAGAAAAACACTACAGAGGGAAGCGTGGAAGAAAACAGAGAATTAAACACAGAGAAAGATGCCTTTGGGATGCTTCAGCAAAACATCAGAGCCATTATTCCCCCTGGGAGATCTGCTGGAGGCAAAGGTGTGCATCCAGAAGTGGGGCTACAGCACACACGCCCTTGGACATGGAAGGCAAGCAGCGTAGGGTTGTACCATCTTCATGGTACATCTGGCCTCCTCCCTTCTGCCCCAGTCTACTTCTCTGATTCAGCGTCTTAATAGGAAATTCAGATTATGCATCCCTGGCTGCAGTGATTGGCATCTACAAGTTCAACAGCTGAACCCCACAAAGGTGCTAAGTTTTCAACCTCCACCATTTCCCATTCCTACCCACCGTACAAAACTATTGAGAATACAAGAAGTACATTTCAGAAAATGGTAACGAACAGTGACTTGCATTGAAGTGAGCAATTCACAGCAGGCAAAAAATTACACTGATTCTGGGATGGTCACTCCTCTCCAAAAATGGTCCTACTTGGCTACTTTGCACCTACATGTACAGACCTACTGCAAAATCTTTAGTAACGCTGTAGAAAGGCCTCACATCCTCATTAATACTGGTGTCCCCATGCTGAGAAATTACACAGCAGCATGTAGACCGTACCCTAAGGCATGGAGGTAACCCTGGCGCATCCATGTAAGACTGCGGGACCAGAAAAGCACTCTTATGCCCATCTCACAGACAGAGGAAACTAACGCACAGAACAACCAGATTTGCTTATTCCAATGCAAAAAAGGTAAATGGAGCTGGGATTACCTCCTGGATTGTAACATCCTTCACAATGCAAAGGAAAGGGGTTTTGTTTTTTTTCTTTTCCTTATATAAAGGGGATTTTTTTGCTTTAATAACAGAACAAGGAAATCCCAGCCACATGCTTTTATCTACACTATGCTACAGGAGATCAAACAGCACTCCAAACCATGAGTGTAATAGAAAGCTCTTGGGGACTGATCCTGTCCCATCCAAACGGGCTCAGCCCTGCTCTGAGCAGCATGGAGCAGGTATGGACACTAACGAATTGTGCAAGGCGCCGTGGGACGTGGGGCTGGACATTGAAAAATGATGTTGCTTTTGTTGGTAGGAAGTCCAGGTAACTTGGTGATCTCTAACCACTGGTGTCCTGCACTAAAATATCTCAGTGCAAGGTTTAAATTCATTTGCCTTTCTATTTAGTAAAGCAAATCAAGTTTGGAAATCTAGCACCAAGGGAAAAAAATACTCCTTTCCCTTGGTCAGCACCTTTATTAAGAGGCAATTAATAGGCAATAATCTTGGGAAAGCTGGCAGCATGAAAGCTAAAACCCCATCACTAAGCCTAAACAAAAACCCTTGCAAAACCCGCATGTACTCTCTGACCAGCTTGAAATGTGCATAAAATCAAAGGCAGAAGAAAAAAGGGCTCTGTGTTGGGTACGGCACTTTGAATCTCAGAGTCTTTGAAAAGTTAAGGCTTGTGCGGATTTAATAGGGAAAAAAAAAAATTTTAAAAAGGGGATAAGCTTTCGTTGGCCACCCATTGGAAAAGCTGCGGAGGGAGGAGAAAAGGCTTTTCTGCAGTGACCCACCCATGCAGCTCTCCTTCCCAGCCCAACCTTCACCTTTGCACCAAATTAAACACTTTTTTTTTTTTTTTTTTAAATGTTTGGGTTTGATGGAGGTTGGTTTGGTTTTTTCCTCCCCACTAAATCTTTCTTCTTCCAACCCTGCAGGTCAGTGGGATGTTGCTGGCTATCTCAACAAAGCAATGGTAATTTCTAACAAGCACTCTGTGATGTGTTTGGCTGCCAATGTCCAGGTCCTGGGCGTGTTTTTAAGGTTTCGGTAGATTAGATGTCTATCTTAAGTGAAAAAGATCATTAAATAATTTGGCAGGACCGAGTGGGGCATCTAATTCCTCATCCAAGACACACTCTGTAAATATTTGGGTACCTACAAGTGACGGGCTTTCTATTTGAAGTACTCAGTGGCTGATCTTGGGTACATACAAACCTTATTTGGTTTACAACATTTGTACATATTTTAAAATGCATAAAAACTAGATTAGCCTATGGTAGGCTTTTATCGG